ATCATTTGAGACCTTTGAAATTAGGACAAAAAGAATATGGAAACAGCTTTTTAAAGGTCTAATTCTTTTTTATTGAATTTTTGTGATTTTGCTACAATATAATCTGATGGTATTTAGGTCCCTTCCCCTATGCACACCTCCTCCTACTGCCCCCACCCAACTTAATGTACTCTATTATATATAATAAGGTTGATAGAGCCTAATTTGTGTCCCCAAATATCCTTCAGTATGGGTCTATCCACTGGAGCCTGGTTAACCTACTAAGAGTCCCATTCTTGAAAGAACCTGTCTCTCTGCCTCCACATAGCCATCGATTGCCAAAAGTTCCTTAGGTTGGGCTGAGTTTTCTTACCCACTTCCCCATGTCTATACTGGGATTTTGTCTGGTTTGAGCTTGTATGGAACTTGTGTGTGCTCTCTGTCATCATTGCTGTGAGTTCATACAAGTAACTGCCCAGCTGTCTGGAAACCTATTTCCTTATAGTTATCCACCATCTCTGCTCTTACAATCTTTCTACTCTACTCCCTCTTTCACAATCATCCTAAGCCTTGAGAGGCAAAAGTTTGATAATAGGAGTTCATTGAGGGATAAGCACTGTGCAGTCTTTTTCTCTGCACATTGGCCAGTTGTAGGTTTCTGTGTTAATCACCATCTGCCACATAAGGAAATTTCTTTGGTGAGATTTGAGAGGTGCATTAATCTCTAGGTATAACAAGTTATGTATTGGGAGCATGTTTAATACAATAACTAGTATAAAACTACTGTTAGGCCTTCCCCCTATTCCCTGGGACCCATCTATCTTCAGATGCCTAGGCCTAATATCAGTGTCAGGTATGTGCTCCATCCTATGAAGCAGACCTTAATTCCAACCAGAGAGTGGTTGGTTACTCCTGTAATATTAGTGCCACTATTGCATCAGTGGGCAGGCATACCTTGCTAGGCCAGTTGTTGTAGTTCACAAGATTTACAACTGGTTCCAGTAGCATGCATAGCAGCTTCTAGCACTATGAAAGGTAACCAGTAGAGATGAGGCTCTGAAGTCAGTACCAGCTTGATTTCTTGTTTATTCTACAGCTCATATATGTAGTGTCTTCAGACAAGGTCTCCCAGCTAACATGTAACTTGCTATATAGACCATACTGCCATCAGTTTCAGAGATCCATCTGCCTTTGCCTCCTGAGTGCTGGGATTAAAAGTGTGCACCACCACTCCTGGCTTAGATGTTGGCACGGCATTTGCTAGGGGCCTAGAGGGACAGATATTACTGGATAGACTGGTGGTAATCTTCTCTCATGTTCTTCACCTTGCATGATGTAGTTTGTTCAGTAATAAAATAGGAAAACATTTCTTTCTAATTTCTTTCTTGGTCTTTTTGAGACAGGGTCTCCCTGTAGCCCCAGGTAGCCTGGAACTCACTATGTAGACCAGGCTGGCCTTGAACTCACAGAGATCCACCTGCCTCTGCCTCCTGAGTGCTCAGATTAAAGGCATGTGCCACCACACCCAATTTAGGAAAACATTTCTAAAAGTCTTCCTGATATTTTTCAACCAGCAAGTGTTGAACATAGACATTTGGGTGCTGAGTTTATGATATAAAGAAATCTTACCATTTCTCCCACCATTTTTCATTTTTCTTTTAAATTATTTTTATTCTTATTTTTTAAATTGCAGTGTTGTTTATTTGTGTGTGTGTGTGTGTATGTGTATACCACAGTGGAGGTCAGAAGAAGCTTGGAGGATTTACTTCTCTCCTCCCTCTGGTAGGCTTCAGGGATGAGATGTACATTGTCAGCCTTGGTGGCAAGAGCCTTTACCTGTTAAGCCATCTTGCTGGCTCTGTTGTTATTATAATTGCTCTTGTATTAAGTTGTCAGGAATTCACCTATATTTCTTTTACTTTTTTCTTCCTCCCTCTGTTTCTTTTTTTAAATTTCTCTTCTTCAGTGCTTTTTCCTAAGAGGACCTAATGCTTTGCATCTTGAGATTGTATGTATTATAAAATAATTGTTATATGCTAGCTTCAGATTTTTTTCAGTTTAACAAGGAAGTTTTTTCTTGGTTTCAAAATAGAATTACCATAAATACCAAACTAACGAGGAATTATTTGGCTCCAAAGATAAAACTGTTCTCTGATACTCCATGCTCTCAGGTGATGTCTATGATAGCAGGGTCATTTCTGCCCACTTGTGATAAGTGTAGAGCATACTCATGACCACAAGTAAACAGCTGTTGTACTGAAGGATGGTCTATGCTTGAGGAAAGTTAAGAAAACTGGTGGGCTAGGTATCCTCTTTGAGTAAAAGCAGACATCAGGGTAACAAGATGTGAGATTACAAAAGCTCAGACTAGTGAGCAATCCCTTTAGTGGAACTGTGTTATGGACAAAAGTTCCCTCCTTCATGCCCCTTGGTTCTTGTTCTCTTGAGTCTTGGAAGTGTTCCTAGCCCTGTGCTCTAAAGCTGGCTCTACCATGTTCCACTTGCCAGGCCCTGTTCCATGAAACATCCAGCCGTATCCACATTCACCCTTTCCCCTGCTGCTGGTTTTACCTATTCCCCTTTGCCCTAGCAGTTCCAGCATCTCTCAGGACTTGGAAAAGCAGACCAGACTTGGAGTTGCTGATGAGAAAGGGAATTCGGGAACTAGAGCTGGAATGACCAAGGCTTAGGCAGAAGCAATACTATGTAAAACTATGAGAGAATCTTCATTTTCACAGTTTCTAAGTATTTCTCAGTAAATTCAGCATGAGACTGTTTTGTGCTTTAATGTGCCTGTATTTCATCCTATTTACAGAAAAGAATAGAAATTAGATTCAGGAAGACAAATACCACATTTTCTTTCATATGCAGAGCCTAGATTTTAATGTGTGTGCGTGCGTGCGTGCGTGCGTGCATGTGTGCGCATAATGAAACTAGAAGGGGACCATGGAAGGGAGGAAGAGATCTAAAAAGAGAAAGGAGTTGCGGGGTGGGGATATGGACAGGGTGTAATGGAATGCCTATGACATGAAAGCAGAAGAGGGGACAATTTGGGAAAGGAAGAGAGAAAGCAGGTGGAATAAAGGAGGACAGTGTGGGAGGGGAATAAATTAGAGCAAAATATATGTATATATGAAAATGCCATAATGAAACCCATTATTTTGGATATCAAGTTTTAAAAACAGGGGGCTAGGGAGATGACTCAGCAGGTGTCCTATGTTAAAAGCCAGTGTGGTACCACACCCCACAGTAGTGTAGAGGGCTGATGACAGGAGAATCTCTGTGACCTGCTGCCTAGCTGCAGTTTCAGTGAGAGAGCCTGCCTCAAAGGCATAAGACAAGTCACCTGATGTCCTCTGACCTCCTTTTACATGGGCATACACATGCACCCACACAAAAATTGAAGGAGGAAAGATTTATTTTGCCACACTATTTCTGCTCAAGGTCAGCTGAGTCCATTGCTTTGGGCCTACTACATTGAAGAAATTATGGTGGCAGGAGCATATGGCAGCCATGAAGCAGAGAGAAGAGAGGGAACCATTTCCTAATACCATCACATGGGAGGTTAGGGTTTCATCATATGAATTGGGGTGGGGGCAACAAATATTCACCTCTGCCCCCCAATATTCATGTCTTCACATTCAAAATGTATTCATTACATCCCAACATCTCCCCAAAATTTCACCTCATTCCAGCATCAACCCTATAGTGTCAGCTAAATACCATCCAAATCAGATCTGAGATAGATTTAATTATTTTTGATCCTGAAGCAAATTTTTCTCTTGCTATAAACATATAAAACCAAGTTATTCAGCTTTCTCTCCCTGTAACAAAATACCTGACATAATTATAAAGAAAAAAGGGTTGGTTGGTTTTACTCAGTTTTAGAGGTTTCCATCCATAGTTGTGTAGACCCATTGCCTCTGGTGTGGTGTCAGGATGACAGTGGTTAAGAGCGTGTCATAGAGAAAACCCATGACCACCGGGAAGCAGAAACGAAATAAGGAAATAGTTGGGGTCCCACAGTCCTCCTTCAAGGGCTTGACCCCAATTACATAAAGCCCTCTACTAAGTCCCACCTCCCAACAGTACC